CACAATCACATGGCCACTTCTGCGCCAGGTAGATGGGGCTGTCCTGGGCTGCAAGTTGTCAGCTTCACCTAGAGGGATACTCAGGTACCATCAGGTGCCCAGTGAGGAGGGGACATGCCCCTACGGGGTGGGGGTGTGGGGAGCGGGGTGCCTGCGGGCTGCCTGCCAGGGGCACTGTCCAGGCACCCTCCCAGTCCTCTGACTCCCAGCCTCTGCAGAGACCACCTGTTCTTGTCTGGCAGCGCCCTCTGCTGGCCCATATTTTGCATGACACAATGTGCTGTGCCATGCTGTAGGGTGATCTTTCCCCTAGTCACCACTGTCACCCTTCTTTGAGAAGTGTCTGCCTGCCCAGTCCTCATGGGTCCTCATGTGAGAGCTGGGCAGCTCTGATCGAGGCCGGAGGCAGGAAACACCCCTTGTGGCTCACTGAACAGCCACCACAGCTGGGATAGGCCCCTGGCCACAGCAAGGGGACTCAGGTCAAATGGCATCCTGGGCCAGTTGGGGCCAACAGTGAAGGGTATAAAACGCTAGGTGCCATGTGACTCTCTCACAGCCCCTGGGGCAGCTGGGCAGGTTTGTCACCTTTATTTTACAGATGAGGAAAGTGAGGCCCACTCTAAGAGCAGGGCTTGGTGACAAGGCAGGGGCTGCTGGGGACAGAAGCCGGGCTGCGCATGGGCCTGTGCACACCTTCTGGGGGGCGTCAGGAGGCACTCATGCTGACCACTCCCAGGGCCAGGCAGGTAGCTGTGAGGAAAGCAGGAGTGGCCTGTGGCCATGTGCAGAGCTGGCCACCTGGCAGAGGACTGTGCTGGTCTCCTTCCCTGCGGTGGGCAAAGCTCCAGTGTCCACTGGTGATAGGTCCAGGTGACAGACCTGACCCCAGCAGATAGGCTCACCCAGGTGGGGATGCGGTCCTGGTGGGATGGATCCTCCATTTCACACACTGCCCTCCGCCAGAGCCACTGAGCTGAAATGTGCTGCAGCGCCTGCCTCTGCGGCCCCCGGCCTCATCTTCCTGTACTGGTGGTCCCCGCAGACACTCAGCCTAGAAGGCCCACTGGTCCCGCCCTCCCTGCAGGTAATTGCGCAGCCAGAAACACTTGTGCGTGGGGTGTGGGGGGAGGGAGGGGGAAGAGGGGTTATTCAGACACGAGGCCTCTGGAGACATTTCCTGTATCAGCCTCACCCCAGCTTTAAACTGACTGTGTCTTCTCATTCCACAGTAGAAAGTGATGGCCCAGAAGGAGGAAGCCACTGTCCCTGTCAGTGCACACAGGGATGGCGGGTGGCAGAGGGGTTGGATGGAACAGCAATGCCAGGAACCACTGCAGCTGGTCCCCTCAGGGGGACCTGGACGTGCCCTGGGTTAGGAAGGGGATGGCCAGTGTGGAGCCTCTGAGGCAGCAGGCCAGTTCTCCAGCCGAGTATCACTGTCTCCATTTTAGGAGATGCAGCATCTGAGGTCGGGGTCTGGCCTGGGCGTGAAGCCAGCTTTCTCTGCTGCCCGCAGCTGCCTAGGTCGAGGGAGGGCGGGTCTATCACCTGTGCCTTATACTGCCGAGTGCCAGTGCAGCCCTGCAAAGTCGTCCCCTCGTCCTCATCGCCACCAAGACTGCCATGACTCACTGGTGACATTGCTAATAGACTAGAGCCAGGTTGGGACCCTGTGTTATTCACCCCCAGGGACTTGCTCTGTGCCACGCACCACACTGCCACATGCTGGAGACTGAGCTGTAACCCAGCAGCCTTGTCCATCTCATGAGCAGGGCTGCAGGGTTCCTGAGGGTAAAGCTCCAGGCCTGGCACTATCACCACACTGTCAGACTCGGCTACTAAAGGTGAGACTAGTAGGTGGAGGAAGGCATGGCGGCCCATGGTCAACAGCTAAACGGCTAAACGACTAAATGCACTGCCTTGACCTGCCATGCCTCTTTCTGCCAGGACCCCCTGCTCCCACAGCACTGCTAGGCGGAGGCTGGCGTGGGGAGTACAGGCATGAGGCCCTGGAGGCCTTGCCAATGGAGTGTCTCTATCTCCTCCTGTCCCAGCAGACACCCTGTGGGGGCGTCCTTGGTCTTCAAGGAGCAGAGGGCCCACATGGACCTGGCCTCCTGCCTCCAGCCCTGTAGCCAGAGGTGGGCTCACGGGCTGGGAGGAACCCCCTGGCTGTGGCGGAGGTGCTTGGTCACTTAGGGCCACTGCAGGCTGTAATGGGGGTTCCCAGCTGAGACGGCATGTTGGAGATTGTGGGAGCTTCTTTGTCCTCAAGTGCAATCACTCCTGAGTATGTGAAAATACAGATTACTTTATTATAAATTGCTTTTCTTTTTATTTCTCCTGTGTTACAATTAGGGTACTGAGTTGATATTTTGAATTTTAGAGACAGTAGTTATGTTATCCACGAATTTCAGTTTAGGGTAGAAAAGGGGAAATGAAAATATCTGGTTTTGAAGTAGGGCGTTGGGTCCGTCCGACAGGGCCGAGGACCAAGGCTGTGTGCCAACTCTTGCCTCCAGCCCCCCAGCCGACAGGCCAGTTCCCCTCCGGGAGATGCTGCAGGACCATGAGTGGGGCTCCCACTGCCACCCCTTTGTTACTTGTGCTGCCTTCACCCCTGCCCTCTGAGACGTGGCTATCATGGGCAGCGGGTTTGTCTCGGGCTCCGCGTGCCCAGTCCCGAGTGAGAGCTGGCACTGGGCTCTGTGTTTTCTGGGTCCCCTTGTGGGTCCCCTTTGGCTGTTTCCAGGCTCAGTGTTGACTGAGCGACATTTCCACCCCAACTAGCAGAGGGCCACACATGCAACCATCAGGAGCTGTGGGTTCTCTGGGGACATGTGGCCTCACCTTTCCCAGCCTTGGCTGGGAGTGGCTGTGTGGGCCAGCCTTCTCTTGCTGAGGGGGCTAAGGCATGGGGAAGGTTGAGCTCTGAGGCAGCCAGGCCAGCAGCACCATGAGGTGTCAGGTAGCAGGGAGAGTGCGGGGAAGAGGGAGGCTTGTGACATCTCCTAAATGTGACAGGGCTGAGGCCAACAACATTCGTTTCCTGGGCAGGAAGCACTGCTCACCCAAGGAGGCATCCCCCTGCCTTGCAGCCACTTGGAAAGTTGTGGGAGCTGCACAGTGTCCCATGTGCAATTTCATTTCTGCACGTCCTTGGAGAAGCAGTATTTCTATGCACTCTTGATTCTGTTACTGCCATGGCAGTGACACCTGATTGGCTACACATGACCCCATCTGGGTCACTGGGAAGATAGCAGATGTGAACCCAAGCATCTTTGAACTCGATGCTTTAAAGCATAGATATATACTCGTCATTTAAAACATATTTGTTACTTTGCTTGGAGCTGATCTGTGGCATTAAGCCCTTGCCCTATCCTTGCTCTGATGTTACTGTCACTTTTCTGTTAGTGATATCACCTGACATTGTACAGTGGCTTAGAATGAACGTCTCTGCGTTTGTAATGACGAACCAGCTCTTGCAGGACTGTGACACAGCTCTGTGGCCACCCTTTGTGTGGATAAGCCAGGGACACAATTGGAGTACCCAGGTACAAAAGGGACTACAGGCCCTGTCTCAAGCACTCAGCCTGTTTTCCCGGGTTGTCTGGAGGCTCCCTGGTCTGGCACCTTCAAGGTCTTCCCTTCTTCCTGGGCTGGCCTTGGGGCAGGGACAGCTGAGGATCAGCACCCACCTGTCTACACACCAGAGACCTGTGTGAGGTCGGCAGATCCTTGTTCTGGGCCTGGGGCCTGGAAATAAGGATCCCGAGGGGCTGGAGGAAGAAGGGTTAGGGGAGGGGGCAGGGCCTTCCCTGCCTCCCTTCTGTGGTGGGGTGAGGCGGGGCACTCTGCCCTTGCCTCTTAAGCCTGCTGTCCTCAGGACCCAGGGCATCCCCACATCCCTGGCACCAGTTCCTCCCAAACCTCTCCAGGACTCACACCTCCGATTCTTTACTGTGTGACCCTACTGGAGTGGGCTCCGTAGGGTCTGGTCACTGGCTTATCTTGGCATCTCTTGCGTCTAGTGTCCTGTTTTACTGAGTGACTGTATGACCTAGTCTACCACCCTGGTTGGCTGTGGAAGTACAGGGAACAGGGTGGGGGCAGGGCCACTTCGCAAGAGGACAGAGGAAAGGCTGTCAAACTTGGGGTTGGAGCCCTCCTGTGGGCTAGGCAAGCGTGGCAGGTGTTCTCCTGGGGGCTGTCCATTCGGTGCAGTTGTAAACCCGATGTCACCACCCTACCCTTTTCTCTTTAGGCTGCGGAGGACAGTGGTGGTCACCCCCAGAGCTGAGAGGGTTGCTGGTGGGTGTCTGTGAAGACAAGTGGGGGCTGGTGAGCAAGTTGTGGTCTCAAAGGGAGGGGGTGCCGTCTGCTTCCGCTGGCTGGAGTGTGATGGAGGCCAGGAACCATCCTTGCCCATCTGGATGACAAAGAGCCACCACAGATGTGGAACCATGAGCCGGAGACTAGTGGCAGTAGCCGAGTCACCCTGGGAAGTCAGAAGGGAGGACAGAGAGGCACTGGGAGTTGTGACCTTGTGGTGCGAAGACGAGCAGGCACCTTGTCCGTACGAGGGGCAGGACTTGGCTGAGGATGTCCTTAACACGGAGGGGCTTGCTTCAGCCTGTCTGGTGGCCCTGAACACCAGGTTTCTTCCATTTTCAGATTTTGTGACCTGAGTGTTTGGTGGTGTTGCAGGTAAAGTGGGTCTGTCTGGATGGATGGAAGCGCTGGCCATGCAGACTCTTGCACTTTGGGGTGGTAACAATCTAATCGCTTGTTGACGTTAGTCTGTTCACCTTACGTCATTAGAGCTGTTTCAGGACCCCCATTATCATAAACGTGCTGCTCACAATGAGAAAGTCCGGATCCTGGTGTGGTGATGGCTGTCCCGAGGCCTCTGGGCTAGCCTGTCGGCGTGTCGCCAGACAAACCCCTAATTCTCTAGGCCAAGCCATCACCTCTGTTTAATGAATAAGATGAACAAATGAGCAGGAATAAACAAAATTTAATATTTTCTGGTTAACAATAAGAAAGCTAACAGGTAGCATGTGTTGACTAGGGGTCCCACATATTACATTTCCACAGTGACTCTGAGTTTACCTTCCCAAGAGCAGCTGCCCAGGGGGAGGGAGGCACCCCAGAGTGAGTTGGTGCCCCCAGTGAAGAACTAGGTGAGGCAGTGTCTATGTGAAGCATTTCTGAAGAACAAATGCAAAACGAGGGTCTGGATATAAGAAACTTGGTGACCACCCCAAGTCAGGGCTGCATTTCATTAGAGACTTGGCATAGGAAGGATGTGAATCACCCCTCAGCACAGCGACATGGTGACGAAAGTCAAAGGTCACACATACATAACCTGTGACCTCTGAGCAGAGGCACAGCGAGGGCAAAACCGCATGTAAAGTGAGGGGATGCGGCCAGACGCCTGGTGTTTATCTGCTCTAAGTGCACATGTCATGCTGGGAGGACTTCCATCCCTGCTCAGGTGGATGTAGGAGGGGAGTCTGCCATGCTGGGGCCCTGTCTGATGCCGTCAACACCCTTGTGGATAAATCTCATCCAGGGTGAACCTTCTGCACATTGTAAAGCGGCCACTACAGCCTTCCCGTGGGGACACACTCCAGAGGAAGCCCAGCGAGTGACTTTCCAAGCCCCAAGAGCTAGTCTGTGTCCATGTGTGCCAGGGCAGCTGGGCGAGGGCGTGTCTCGTCTCATGGAGACTCTGGAACGCTTCTTCAACAAAAAGCGCCAAGAAATTACGATTCGAGGACCTGAAACCCCAATGTTACAGGCAAAGCCTCGTTTCTACGGAACACGAAGTACTCTGTTTCCTCCACTCCCAAGAGCTCGTCAAGAGATGCTACTACCAAGTCGTGGTCCTGCAGCATCTCTGGGTAGCGGGACACAGCACGTTCGATCCTGGCCGAGCGCCGGACGGGGGTGATCAGCTTCAGGCCCTGCCCTTCTGGCCTCCCACTCGTCCTGAGGCAGCAAGAGGCGCATTCAGAATCCTGACCTCCTGAAATCCCATCTACTGCCCTCTTTCTTGCTCTGCAGTAAACCCCAACAGACATTTCAGCGTCGGCTGACATGCTCATGTCCTGGGACACCCCTCTGGTTGTGAGAAGGAATGGGGTGCAACTCCACTTGGGCGGGGTGAGCAGAGGGGCCGCTGAATGAAGTGTGAAACGTGGCTCTTACGAAGCCAACCACTTGGTACTTGGTGTGTTTATTCCATAAATCCTCAAAACAGTGGATGGCTTCTGAGGAAATCGGGCCTAACACCAGTGGGGTATTCTAGTGAATTATGAGGCTCTTTCTAGTGTTGATAGTAAATTATTCAAACAACATATATTTAGCTGAAATTGAAACTGGAATAAATCAGACACCTCCCCCCATACACTTTAATGTGCTCTAATAAAAAGCAGCTTGGGAGGAGGCTGCAGAGCCTTCCATGCTGTGAATCTGGTCTGCACTAGCCTAAGCCAGGCTAGTGGGCTAGTCTGCCACACCCTACTGATGACCGTGGTGGAGACATGGCTTCTGAGGGAGCTTAGGACTGGAGGAGCAGAGGGCTTTCCCGGGACTGAAGTATATGACTGGTCCCAGTGCAGAGACTGATGCCATACTAATGCTTTAGCAATGACACTGAGACACTGACATAGGACATTACTGTGGACTCTGCCTTAAACTCATGCTTGTCAAAAAGCCAGCTGACATTCTGAGCGGTCTGTAAGAAGCACGCACCCAAGTACCCTCCCTGTTTGGACAGGGTGGCAGGAAAGGAGGCGGGGGTCTGCAGGGCAGGACAAGCGAGGGCGAGCGGGGAGGGGCAGTTCCAGGACAGTCCACTCCAGCAGCACCTCCTTCACCGTGCCCAGCCCACAGGGCTGTAGGGGAGGTGAGTGTGGGTGAAAGGGCACAGTTCTTCCCACCCATGGTACCATACCCCAGCACCAAAAATAGACCAGGCCACACTGGGTCCTCTCGAGACAGGATCACAATAGGCTGTTGGCACTCAAGCCTGTGCAGGAGACTCTGGAATCTGAGCTGGAGGCACGACTTGCTCCAGAGTCTGCTTACCTGGGGAGGGGGGCAACCTGCAGCTTGATACCAGGAAGGCTGTCCTGTCCCACTTTGGTCATGTGGGGTGTTGCTGGGACCTGTCCCATCTCTTTCGGAGGAAGACAAGACTTCCCACATTCCACCTCCTGGGCAGGGTCTTCCACTGATGATCTATTAGTTTCAGCAACTGAAGAGTTGGAGGTGATTCCTGTGTATGCAAGGCCCGGAAGGGAGCATGACTGAGCCAGGTAATACTTCACCGAAACCTGTGCACTGAAATTGCTGTGCAGACGTAACAGCTCCCTGTAACCCCACAGACCCCAGAATGAAATAGAGACCCTGACTCGAAGTAGGACCTTCAACTAGTTCTGCTGCTAAGCCCTGGAGCAGGCCCAGCCCCCCACCAGCCTCTGGCCTCCTTGCCACTTGGGGATGGGTCCATGATACCCTCTCAGCACTATGAACTCTTGAGAGCCCTCCAAGGGACTTGTCATGGGCCTTTCACCCTGATACCACCTTGGGTCACTTGTCTTGACTCACTAGGCTTAGCTCACTTGACCCAACCCCTTCTTGCCTAGGGACAGCCATGTGGCTGCCACCTAGGAAAGTGGATGAAGAAGGTCTTGTGTTAATACATTTGCATGACAACCTGATCACAAAAACCAAAATGAAGGAAGTTAGGCTGAGACAGGCAGATGCTGTGACTGGAGGCTGAAACCCCAAGAGAGGTCAGTTGGGGCCAACAAGTAAAATGGCACAGAGGCCTCCTCCTTCCACCCCTTTGGAGAATTCAGCCATGTGTTACGGACAAATATCTGAGTTGGAGGGTCGCTCCCAGTAAGAGTGCACTGAGCATCTTATGTTCCACATGACCCAGTTGACCCCTAAGTCACATCTACTCTTACAGAAAAAAGACATGTCACCTTCTAATTCATAAAAATGACCCATTTGACCTTCTGAAGGCAGCCTGTTTTCTGTCCCTTATCAGCAGTAGTGTGCCTCTTACGTATCTGCACATTTGACCCAAGAGAGACCTCTGCAGGCCCTGAACACCCATAAGAATGGCAAGCAAAGTGCAGGGCCCTGCAACTGGGCTGTTGTCAGAGCAACATATGGGTGTGAGTGTGTGACTTAGGCTGAGACCCCTCCCTCTTCCTCCAAAGGGCTGCCTTGCTCTGCCCAGGCCCAGGGACTGGACTTGCATCCAGGCACTCAGCGCTGAGCAACATGTTTACTTGTGAGGACAGCAAGTAGCAGCTGGCAGTGCTGGCTGGCGGGGCCAGACCCCAGACAGCAAGAGGTGAGAGGCCTTTCCTCTTTCCTCGTGTGATCCTTGATGGCTGTTGCCTGTGCGGCTAAAGGGAATGAACATAAACACAAATGGTACCATCTACGGTTCTGCTTGGGTCTTGCAAAATATGAAGAACGGCTTCCCGCAGCTCCTGTATTGGCTGGAAGGAAGAGAGGGAAAGCAGGGTCAGCAGTGAGAACACTCATGAGAAAAGGATCTAAGAAACTGGAACATCAAATGAACTTCTTTTACAAAAAAAAATGTTTCCTTTTTTATCTCTTGTCTAACTATAAACCATATTTAAAAAGTTTCAGATGTACAGCTTTATGGGAAAAATGAAGGAACGAAGAAAATGTTTAAATGCTGCTGTTTTCGAATTACTGAAGAGATGTGTTGATGGAAAGTTGTAACGAAATTTCTCTAAATGAAATTAATTTCCTTATTGACTTACACAACTCCATTGAAGACGTACTCCCAAATAAATAAAGATTGTGGCCCAAAGATGTAAAGATGGTCATATAGAAAGTGAGGTGTGCATATTTAGTGCTATCTCAGTTTAATTTTGGTTTTCAATCATAAAAGCCGTAAATCTCATCACAGAAAAACTGAACAGGTAAAACTTGAAAAAGAGAATCACCCATAATCCCATCACCCAGACACGGCCTTTAGCTGCCATTCTGGCAATTTCCTCCCAGCCTCCCTGTTCTTACATCTTTTATTCGATAGTATAACTTAAAGAAACATTATAAAAAGCAATTTTCTAGAAATGCAACTGGGAGAGCTTTCTTCTTCCCAGTCACATAGGCCGCGCGGCAGGACGCCACAAGCGAGCTGAGGTTTCTCACGGGATGCTACCTGGAGGCTGGTCTTCTGACCTGGGCCCTAGCAGATAAACAGTGGTACAAAGTGACAATAGAGCTTAAAAGCAAAGCTACCAATACATTTTTACAAAACCTAAAATGCCTTATGCATAAGGAAATGGGAAGAAAGGCATAAAACACACTGCAAAGAGCCTGAATCATATAAAGCATTCATCAGGTGTCTTTGATGTTTTTACAGGTTTCTAGTTAAAGACGATGGATTGAAAACATTTATTTCTAATTCCTCTACTGCAACGATAAAAAAGGGATTGCACAGAGGCAGTAACCATAGAATACAGCAGAGGAGAAACAGGAGCTGGTCTGGAAGCTGGATGCACCAGCTGAGATGGCCAATGGGACTGACTTGGAAGCACCTATTCGAAGCTGGCGCTGTGGCCAAGAAATAGCTAGACCTGCCCCGAGTTTCTGGACGGCACAGGACTAGATGGGGCCAGGACCGGGCAGCCTGAGCATCTGTTTAGAGGGCAGCCAGGCCTCCAAGTCTGTCCTGCGTCCTGAGCACCACACGGCCCCGCGGACTGTGCCCCATGCCCAACAGAACATTGGGATTCCTTCTCCAGGTCTCTGAGGATATCATGCAGGACTGAGGGGCGGGGGTGCCTCTTGAAAGAAGGGCTAAGGAAGCCTTCCTGCTCAAGGTTGAGAAGCCCCCTCCTCTCTCCCCGCAACACTGGCAGCCTGTTCTTGGCTCCAGGGAGGAGTGTGGAAGAATCTTCTCCAGAGAAGATGACTCATTCCAGTGGAAGGACCTGAAGGTACTGATACTGAGGGGTCCCCAAGGCAGCCGACCCAGCCACAGCACCTATGGCAAAGCCATACCATGAGTCACATCTTTCATAAGCTTTTCCAGCCCATTTCTTATATATGCAGACAGCCCAGTTTTACCAGCATTTGAGTAAAGGCTTTAATGAATAGAGAACAAAACAAACAAGTACCGTGGGGTGGGGGGAGGTGGGGAGGGAGATAGGGAGAGAAAGAGGGAGGGGAAGGGAGGAGGGAGGGGAGGGGGAGAGAGAGAGAGGGAGGAAAACAGATGCAGGAAGCAGCAAACTCAATATGGGCTCTGGGAACTGACATGTAAGGACATGGTGGGATCTGAGGGTGATGGTGACAGGAGCTCCCATGACAGCAGTGAGGACTGGGCTGAAACCAGCCTGATGAGACTGGGACAGATCAGAGGAATCTGGAGAAAGGCCTCAAAGAAAAATAAATCTGATGTTTTGAAAGCATAGAGAAATTTAGAGAACAATTTAGGAATTAATTATATGAGAAACACTCAGAAAACTAAACAAAGGAAAAACAAGACAATTTTAGGATAGGTAGAAAGTTGTGCCTGAGGCACAGCAGTTAACAGTGCACACAACATGCCAACATGCTCAGGAACGGCTTACTCATTCGCAGCACCATGAACACTGAGTCATCCCCAGCATGGCCATGTGACTAATGGAAGCAGGAAGGATGGCACAGGCATGCCAGGGTGACAGGGTGTGTCGTGTGTCAGGGTCTGGGCTGGTGTGTGGGAAAGAGGTGAAACCTTCATCTTGCGTAGCTGGAAGTCCACAGGTCCCGTGTAAGACTGAAAAGTCAGGGAACAGCGATGCGAGCACAGAGGTGAGCATGGAAATCACAGGTCTACTCCAGGCAGCAGGGAGGAGGGGGGCGTAGGCCTCGTGAGACAAGCCTTATCGAACTGTCTAAATTGCAGCAGGTTAAGCTCTGATGCTGAGCAATCGTGAAAAAGGCCCTGTAGGGTATATGATGACAGGGAAAGTGACAGCCAAGTGAAAAGAGCTATAAAATTACTTGACTCAGTCCTTGCTAAAAAATTATAAAAATAGTTTTACTAGGTTTTAGAATTAAAAGGCATTTCATGCCTTGGCTCTGAGTTATCAATTAATGGATATCGACGTGCTGGGTTTAACATATTTTCAGGTTTTCCATGCTGAGGCCTGAGTTTATAAGTGTTGGGTATCGGTGGTGCAGGTTTCTACGCTATCGCTTCCCGTAAATGCACATTCACTTGACAGGGAAAGTGACCCTACCATAACCACTTCGTGTGGTGTGTGCACTTCCACACGTCAGACGCATATCGCACCACAGCCCACCATGCTGCAGAGTGCGGGGCTCACACAACAGTGTCCAAAAAGCCCTGCAGACACTTACCGCTGCCCCATGTCTCACAGCCTCCTCATACAGCCCGACAACATCGAAGGTGCCTTTACTCGCCAGGAACTTGGCTTTGCAGATCCAGAATTTAGCAAACTTTTCAGCCTCGGGAATGCTGGACAAGATGGTGAACACTTCATCAGGGAGCACACCCTAGACAAAACACCCAGGAATGCTATCATCATCTCATGGTCTCTCATGTCCCTGTTACTCACAGCAGGGGTGCAGAGAGCAGTGCAATTTATTATTTTTAACTTTGAAGAAAATTCAATTTTACTAATGTACAATTTACACATAATAAAATGCAGCTATTTAAATAGTATGTTTCAATGTGCTTTGACACTGATCATTAAATTTTTAGTTAACTGAGACCGAACATAGCTGAGGGATGTCTGTGTTCTGTATTTTATGTGGGGTAAGACCCAAAACCCCAACCAGACCAGACCCCAGAGCAATCAACATGCCTGTCATTACTAAGCCTGCTGTCACCACACTTGGAGTGGGAGAGCGAACCTGTGCTTGCACACAGGCCATTGCTCATCCAGGAAATCCAGCCAGGGCCTCGCACTCGCCTGTTCAATGAGCCGTAGACACTCGGCCAGGGTGCTGCTGATCCTGCTGGAGAGCTCGTACTGGGCCTCCCGCTCTGTCTCCATGCTCTTCCAGAATGACATGTTCATCTGCTCTACGACTCTCCTTTTTGTTCTAAGCTCCATGGGAGGCCGCTTATACACTTTTCCCTTAGATTTCTGCCATTCTTCCAGTTGTTTCCTGTAACGCAGTGAAAGGGGAGGCATGGTTTTAGAGTTCTGGTGTGAGGTCGAGGCCCTGAAGTACATGACACATAGACAGCCTGTCACCAAACACTTCCAGCTGCAGACAGAGGCAGGGAAATGGCAGCAGTGGCTGCCGCCCTTCCGAAGGTAGAGGCCAGAGTGACTGCTAGGACTGCAGGTGTCAAGTCCAGGGTTCTTCATGCTTTTTCTGAGAACGTTTGTGTCCCCTGTGTGCGACCTCTGACACTAGTGATCTCATCCCCAAGATCACTAACTCAGCACCTGCCCTCTGCCCTCAACAGGGTCTTGGCCACTTCGTGGGCCTCTACGCCAATCCCTCGGCCCTGTGCACAGCCCCTCTTCCCTAAACAAGACCGGTAACTTCAAGGCCCTTCTCTAGGTGGTGACAAGTCTTCATCCTTGCCCACTCCTACTGCTCTGTTTCCACTCCTGCTTCTTGCAGCAAAGGCTGCTGCTGGGGGCCACCAAGACATGGCCCCAAGTATGGATGGATGCAGGCCCGTGAGCTCCCCCGAATTACAGCTGTGTGTTCATGATGCACAGTATGCACCGCACGCAGGTATCTCCCTGGAGCCCCAAACTCTGCAAAACTCCGCCTAGGTGACATCTTTTATTTGATGTTTGGCAGACATTTCCAATTTAGTATTGTCCAAACAAAGCTCTTAATTTTCCCCACAGATCTGTTCTTAGCAGTATCCCTGCAGTGGTGACAGTGTTGCCAGGGCCTGAAACGGGGGCCTTGTCAAAAGACGCCTTGTGTGCAGTGGCCAGCATGATCCGAGTCACTGCTGGGAGCACCCTGGCTCTTGGAGAGGGGTCACACTGCTCTCCATGGCAAACAGCAGTGTGACTTGGGCCCTGCCTGTCTGTCCAAGCTGGGATGCCCACTCCTCTCGTCACCCCCTCCGGGAGTCCTAGGTCCTCCGGAGTCCTGACCAAGCTCATCCCTGCCTTGCTCTCTGGCGTGACAGTGTTTAGTCCTTCTGACTAGGACGCTGTTAGTAGTCACCCGGCCTTGTTAACTGACATGTGTCTTCTGTCCTCCCACCGAACGCAGTCTCCAGGAAGATGAAGACTGGCTGTCTCCAAGCCTTGCACAGCTCCCAGAACACAGGCAGCTCTGTTTTCACAAACGTACAGTCATGTCACCATAACGATGACCAAGATATAAATGAGTTCCCATACCTCAAAAATTCCTGCAAGCTCCCTGGGAGCTACCCTGTCCCTGGCTTCTAAAACTGCCCACTGTCTTCTGTTCTGATGGTTCTCTTTCCCAAATGTCAGCATTCATCACCTTCATTTCTCTCCTGATCCTGAGCACAACCCACACAGCGCTCAGCTCAGCTGCAAGTCCCAAACTGGTAACTTCCTGACAGGCTGACACACCTGCATCTGTGTCCTCTATGTTTCCGGCATTCTGCCTTAGCTTTACCTGTGACACAAGGAAGAGGAAGCTTCCTTCTTTTCTTTCCTTTTTTTTTTTTTTAAATATCTACAGCACGTGGTCTTCCTAGGTGGTCTCCCATCCAAGTACTAACCAGGCCTGACCCTGCTTAGCTTCTGAGATCAGACGAGATCGAGTGTGTTCAGAGTGGCTTGGCCGTAGACTCGTTCAACTTTTTTAGATTCCACATATAAGTGAGATCATGTAGTATTTGTCTTTCTGAGTCTAGTTTATTTCACTTAGCATAATATCCTCCAGGTCCATCCATGTTGTTGTAAGTGGCAGAATTTCCTTTTTTTGTAAGGCTGAATGATATTCCATTTTATATACACACACCACATTTTCTTCATTAATTTGTTCATCAAAAGACATTTAGGTTGTTTCCATATCTTGGTTATTGTGCCTAATGCTGCAGTGAACATGAGAGTGCAGATCTGTCTTCAGTATCTCCTGTCATCATACTTTCCTGAGTTCCAGCAAGGGATGTCCCAGTACCACATCAGCTCCAAATCAGTACCTGCAACCCCTGTCCCCCATGTCTCTAAAATCCTGTTGTTTCTGTGCTACAAGTACTAACCAGGCCTGACCCTGCTTAGCTTCTGAGATCAGACGAGATCGAGTGTGTTCAGGGTAGCATGGCTGGGAGCTTCCTTTCTTAAAGCAGCTTATTCCCAGACCTGAACACCATGCCACTGTGACCCAGCATCTGGCACTGCTGGTGCCAAAGGCACGTGAGCATGCGTGGTCTAGCACTCCAAGTCCTCTGTGATTACACGTCATTGGCAGCCACGTCCACAAGGCCCTGAGTTAAGGTGTCACTTCCCGTCTCTTCAGGAGGGCAGAGACTGTGCAGACTCCATCCTGCCCTCGCCTCCCCATACCTCACCGATGTCCATTGCGCTGCCCTTCTCCCTGTCAGCACTCCTGGTTTTCCACTCATGCTAGGCACACATGATGCTCTCCAGGCCTTCACTTTCCAAGCCTGTCTGGGCCTGGGCTGAAAGCGTACGGATGCCTATGGCTCAGCTTCAGGCATCGTGTGTGTTAATGTCAACCCCAGGCAACTTGCACCCTGCCTTCTTCCCTGGCTTTGGCGCTAGCACTGCCACTCCTGCCCCTGATGCCACCTCTCTGGCCTCAACCCCTGGTCTGCATGACAGGGACTGGCATCTCTCCATGTCCTCTGGCCCTCCCACCTTGCTCTCAGCCTGCAGGGACTTCGTGAGTGAGTCGTCCACACCTGTGACCCCTATACCTGACTCCACCATCCTGCTTCACGTGTACAGTTAGAGAATCACTTATGGCACGGGCATGTACCACCTGGCCCTGCCAGCTCTCACTACTTGGTACGTTTGTTTCGATCTCTTTCCATGGCTGTAGCTAAAAATGACCCCGGAGCCACTACTCAGGCCTGCCGGCCAACCGACCATATCCCTGCTTGTTGGTTTGCCCAAGCGTCTTAAAGTGCGCAAGTTTGGAATTAAAGCATAGTACCTCCGATCCCCGGCTGTGGCCTTCTTAACACCTGCATTAGTCTGGCCCCCATCTGGGGCTCCTCTTCCGTTTATGGCTGTGCCGCCAGCTTGAGTTTGGGGAGCTGTCTTGTTTAGAAAATGGTTCTGGGGGAGAGCTCCTTTCAACTTGGAGTCTAGAGTCCGCGCTTTCTGCTGACAGCTGCTGTGTTTATGCCCATTGGGCCCATTTGCTCTGGTATTCGGGGTGTGTGTGGTGACTGAGCCAAGTGCCAGCTGAGGCCTCTGGCTGATGGCTTTGGGTCTCTGCTGCATGCACGACGCCTGATGCCCAGGACAAGGCTGAATGGGCTTCCGGTCTTGCTTACCGTTCAGGTGCCTGCTATCAGGTCTCCTCTGCAGCAAAGTGGGGCATGCTCTGGGTCTGGTCTGTTCTGCTTTCTGCTTGGTGACAGCACGTGATTGCAGCTTAGCTCTACCTGGTCCCTCATGTTTACCTTCATTGACCTTCCTGTCCTTGGCACCTGGTTCCTTTGATGCTTGAGTCCCAAGGGTCTGAACAAAGTGAGAGGGGACTGTCTCTGGGGCGCTCCCCGCTGTTCCTATCGGGAGCTGCTGCAGCTTGCCTGCTAGAGTGCTGGTTAGTGTCGCCCCAACATATTGCACTTTGGCTCCGTCTTCCAGAGCAGCATGGGTGGGTGAGCGTCTGCCCGAGGCTGGCAGAGCCCCACTGCTCTTGGTCTTACTGTGCGAACTAGCATCGGGCTTGCTCCTGGCCCACAGCGGAAGCTGTGGCTTCCCCTTAGAGCCCAGTAAGTCGTGGGGCAGGTTCTCCTTGTTTGCGTCTTCTAGACAGCTTTGCAAGTACCTGCCCCCACCACAGGTGCTGTCCACAGAATCTGCACATGCAGCAGTGCCCAGACCTGTCACCTGCTGCGATGCAGCCTCCAGTCCCTGGGTATCAAGCAGCTGCACAGTTTCCCTTGACCGTTGTCTGGTGGGTGGTCCGGTCTTGTGCTTCTGCTTACTCCTGCTGGGAGGCCTACAGTTTGCATTGTAAGATACATAGCCCAAAGCTGGCCTTTTGCCCAGGAGTTTTGGTGGCTTCAAATCTGGCTTCTGGGACCCTGGGACATTGGCAGCTCTGGGCTGAAGTCGAATGCTGATGGGTCTTGCAGCTTTGACAGGCAAAGTAATGTGGTTGGTGATATCCTTTTTGGGTCTAACAGTCTAAAGAGACAAAAATATCAAAAAAGTAAATTCATAAGATTAGCTCACTGTTTTGAAAAAAAGAATTAATTAATTGTATTAGAATGTCACCTACAGGAGTCGAATCCCAAGAATAGAAAGGCAGGCTCACTAATGCAAGGTGTTCATGGTGCGTCCCCATGAGGGGCACATCAGATTCTCCGCTAACTCTTTGAAGACAACACTGCCTTTGTGCAGGCAGGTGTCACTCCAGAATCCGTGTGTCCTCAGTAGCGGGGATAGGGCTGGACACAGGGAAGCCCGAGTTTTTGGAAAAGCCCTCCGTGAGCATCTAACATCTCAGCAGAAAGTCGGTTGTATTTGTGGGTTAGGAAGGGTTTCAAGGTTTGATTCTATGTTACTAACAGGTACGTGTTTCAGTCGCGTGGTTTCATTTTGGCTCAAAGCCAGGACAAGGCCACAGAGCACTGTGAAAGCCAGGCAGTGAGGGGGTAGAGATGACGTGCCGGTGCTGAGAGCAGTTAGGGAGGGGTCTGGTGGACGTTTGTAGCCATGCACCTCTGCCTCTGGGGCTACAGGAGCACTAGAGCCACCACTCTGTTGCATCCAGCAACGTTGTCCCGAGTTACCACATGGCTGGGAGAGTATGTAAAGGAAGTCTGCACCAGAGCCACTTGTGTCAGGGGCAAGATGGGTCCATCCCAGCATGGCCCAGTGAGCTGCTGCTGTGGGCGGGGCAGAGAGGGACACTGCACTGGCAGGGCTGTGGCTGGCTTCCTAATGAGCCCCAATGGTCACCTCTATCTCTGACCTCCCCACTGCACAGGCGGGAGGCTGCTGTCAAAGTTTCCAGTGTGCGGTCCTTGTTGTTCTTTTTTGTACATTTAAAGAAATTGACATATAACGTACATTCCATAAAACTTTAAATTGCACGAGTCAGTGGTTTCCAGTGCACTCTCAGGCTGTACAGTCATCGCTGTCTACTCTGGAACACTGCTGTCACCTTGGAAGGAAGCCCCTACCTGTCAGAAGTACCCCCATAGCCCTGGGCCACCATGATCTGCTCTGTCACCACGGAGTGTCTTATTCTGGATGTGTCACATAAATGGAGCCACACAGCACGTAGCCTTCCGTGTCTGGCTTTCTTCACTTAACATCACATTTTTGAGATACACCCGGGTTGTAGCCTGTATCAGTACTTCTCTATTTTACTTTTTAATTAATAACTTTTAATTTTTCGAGCAGTTTTAGGTTCAAAGCTGAACTGAGTGGAGAGTACTGAGAGTCCTCATGGACCCTGTTCCCCAAATGCACGTCATTATTTTTATGGTGGAATAAATCTGTTACACCTCGAGAATGTAGGGGCCTCTGCACAGTCTGGCTGAGAACAACCAATTAGGAAGCGCATTCCTGTCACGAAATGTGGCAGAGCCAACATGGGGGCTCTCTAACCACTACTGAGCATTTAACTGCCTGGCGGCATCCCAGAGTGGTCGAAACCACAGGCTCTCAGCTGTCACCTGATAGCTGTGCTGTGACTCCATTCTCTCATCTGTAAAATGAAGTGACTCATAGCACCTACCTCATGAGGCTGAAGACTCCAGGGCTCATGCAGTCAGAAAAGTGCACACACACAGCAGGTGCTCAATAAGTGTCAACCGTGAAGACACCAACGTGTACTTAAGGGTCTTTGTTGTTAACAAAACTAAACTATAACATGTCGTACTTAAAAAAAAAATTCCGTCTCTTACTAAACCAAACTGTTTTTACATTTATGAGAAATATCTTTGCAAAGCATGGTCTTTAGGTTACTAACATCTTTATTATTTTCATTATTAATAATAATGAAAATGAAATGGTATTCTTTAGAAGACTAATTTCTACTTACAGAGTTAGAAAGCGAAGGATTTGGGCAATTCTTGGCTTTTAGATAAGGCCTATAAAAGACAAAGTAAGATTAATTCTTAGTACAGAAGGATCAGCAAGGTTTGGAAAGTATAGTGATTAAAATGGAATTTTAAATCATTAGAATTTCTGTATATGGTAAAATAATTCAAAATTACATTCAATAAAAAGTCTCTGATCATCCCTTCCTCAGTCCCAGGTTTCCCCCCTCAGAGACCACACTGCTCTTACCCATTTACCTGCAATCCTTTCAGGTACCCTACACGTAAACATGGCATTTTAACAATATTAAGGAAATATCTGTCTTTTCGTGCTTGCACAGTCTTATTCATTCCAGAGTCGTTCCCGGAACGCTGCAATGTGCCGGCGCTGGAGCTACAGCGCACCCAGGGCCCAGGACTCGCACCCTTGGAGACTCACTCACTTGCTGCCTTGGCACTTAAGTTTTCCCTTGGCTGCGAGGTACTCCTGGAGCTTTCTCTGCCGCTCCTCTGCAAAACAGGAAGCAAACAAACAACACAACTTCAGCTCAGGGGTTTTAACCAGTTCACTTCTATTCTAAAAGATGACACTTTCTGTGATGGGTCTGGCTTTGGACCCTGCCTCCAAGCTTGTCAACACCGGCCATGTCATTTATGCCCCAGGCCCTCTACTAAGCTCTGCACACTCATATTAAGTCCTGTAAAGCATTTTACAGTCTGAACTTTAAGGAGGGTAGGGAAAAAAAAATAAAAATAAAGAGGGTAAGTGATATGCCCGAGGTCACCCAGCTGTTATGTGGCAAAGCCAGGATCTGAAACGAGGCTTGTCCAACGCCAGGGTCCTTGGTCACAGGCATCATTCTCAGCTACAGCGTGCACTTTCCGTGAAGAAATTCTGTTACTGGCTGCCTGAGCTGGTGAGCTGGACCTAGTCTTGCTTTTTCTGACAGAGATGATTTTTCTCAAGCCCTTATATGGTGTCCCTTGGGATTAGCAACAAAATAAGTTGGGTTAGAGGGTTCATGGGCAACATCTGTCTATGTGGTGACTTTCTAAGGCACGAATCTGTGAGGGAGTGAAAGTAACTATTTCTGTCTTCAAAAAGTTTCAATCTAGTAGTGGAGATAAAATAAACACAATAATTACTATCGAAGGCAAAATCTAGTTGCCATAAGATACAGTCAAAGAAAGAATCACGGGAGTTCAGAGGCAAAGACTGAATGAGGGGAGTAGGTGGTTGGGAAAGGTTAAAATTCAATAATGGCTTAAAAAGAAAAAAAAAACGACAGGGGTGCAGAACTGCTCTCCGCCTCACCTACCGAAGCCGCCGTGTGCAGCCACCGGGCTCTGATGCACCCGGGCGCCAAAGCCGCGCCGGGACCCCAATTCTGGGACGTCTAGTACGTTAGCAAAGCGCTGCGGCGGAGTCATAGCGTGGGGACACAGAGGTGCTTTCTTTAAGGGTTGTTATGTGAAGCGCCCGGTACGTGCCAGGTCAACATATGTCGTCACCGACACCGTCCAAACGTTGGCGCCTCTGGGAGGTTGGGGCCCGGGATCCACGCCCTCCAGGCGGAGGCTGGACCCTCCCCAGGCCATAGCAGGCCGCGGGGACACCAGGCTCCTCTGGTACGCGGTACCCCCCTAACGAACGAGGGACACTGACGTCCCTGTAGAGCTCCTGCAGGACTTGTGTCTGCGGGGAACCTAGACTCTCCGCCACCAGGACGTCTCCCCGGAGTCGCAAACGCCCTGCAAGACCATCGAGATAGGCGGGGCGGACGGCCACCTCCGCGGAAACAGTTCACCGCCGCCTCGCTGCACCCGCGAACTCACCTGCGGCGGCGGCGAGCCCCTGCCGCGCCATGGTAGGTCCTCTGCGACAGTTGCTCTTCAAAGGCCGCGCCCGCGGCTGAGGACGCGCTCCGCCCCCGCGCCCGCTCTCATTGGCTCCCGGGGTTTGAAACTCGCCAATAGAAAGTAGGGGAGGGAGGGACAAAAGGAAAGACGCATTGCAGTTGGTTCTGCCCTGGGCCCTTTGATTGGACGAGTGAGCAACGTCACGTGATTGGGGAGGCAGGCGGAGGGCGTAGCGACGCTAGAGCTTCCGGTCGCGCAGGCACACCACCCAGCTTCTCTGAGACCCCGAGTTCCGGGAGCCCGGAAGCAGTGTGCTTGGGGTCGAGGCTACTTGGAGCGTGTATGTCCGCTGGTCGAGGCGCTGTCTCACGAGTCTCGTGCTGCCAGTGACTCCTTTTTTGTTTGTAATTGTGGAGAAATGGACATAACAGTTCACCGCTAGGCCCGTTTCTTAGTGCACGGTCCCGCCTCCCTCGCAAGCCTCCTCGTTCTGCCCTTGGTCCTTCTCCCTTCCCCGCGGGGCACTCGCCTGGCCTCCTTCTGCCGGAGAATCAGTCCGCCTGGAACCTCACAGGAGCGGAATCACGTGGGGTTTGTCCTTTTGCCACCGGCTTATGTCACTCGGCATAGTATCTTTAAGGTCCATCCAAATAGCCTGTGGCGGGGTGCCCCTTTTAAGGCCGGATAGTACTCTGTTGTAGGGGTGGACCACATTCAGCTGGTGGACGCTTGTGGTGCCTCCCGGTCTTGGCTGCTGTGAGTGTGGGTGTGCACATTGGTGGAGCCCCTGCTTTCAGTGCTTTTGGGTGTGTACCGAAATTACCGTCGTATCGTGCGAGTCTTTTTACTTAGTTGGGGACTCGCCCAGCCCTTTTCAGGGCTCCTTCTTTCTAAAGTGTATTTGCGATTGACCCTCATCAGCTGCGTGGATGCCCAGCCAAGGGAGCGATGAAGGGGCTAGGCCAGGTCCTCCCGAGTCCCCAGACTCCCCTCATTTCTCTTATTTGGGCCCTAGAACTTTATGCTTTGAAGTTTGCTGTGTTTTTAGCTATTTGCCAGTTTCATAAAGAGGTCCGGGGAACCCTTTTTAACCGTGCGTGTTAGGGCTTCTCTTCCTGGGTGCTGCAGAGGTGGTGGATAGAGGGGGGACAGCTATGTCTGGGCCCCTGTTTGCCAGGTTCACATCACCGGCTGGGTACTCAGCTGGACAGGAAGCCATTGCAGTGGCTCTTCCGTTTGGCCTGAAACAAGAGTTTTGGGCTTGGAGCCATGCTGGGATTTCTGGATTTACGCATTTCGACATTTACATGTACAAAGATGTTTACAATAGGACAACTGATAATTATTTTAGTGAACATTTTGGACTCTTTGTCTGAAACCATGAGTCTCTGCCTAACTTAAATTTAGCAGCTGGGCAAGAGCCTTTTTGGTTAATGAGTGACAATGGGGCTTGTGTGCAGTTCGAGAAAGGTGAAGGGAGTTCTGTCCATATAAAATCTTAGTGACTGAATGGATTTTGGTTTCAGACGTTGTCCTGCCTCACCTCCCACCCAAGGCTTGAGTGTTCCGCAGGTCCCGTGGAGATAGTACATCTTCGCAGGAATACTGCTGGTGTCGGGTGCTGCCGTCCCTGTCCTGTTATTAGAGAGCTCTGGGCATTATGAATCTTTCTTTAAAGTGAGCACAGATAAGTTTCTTGCTCAGTGGTCCTAGTTCTTTGGAGCAACATAGGCCAGTTCTGTGCCCTTTTTTACACTCTTTGGGTTTTTGAAGGACACAAAGTGGAAAAAATGCTAGCCAGGTTCAACAGGTGCAGCTTATCAAGTAAAGTATCCACTGTGGCTCTTGTGGCTTTGATGGCTTCCCATTGACATCAGGCAGTTGCCCTGCAGGGCATAGCCTCTTTTCAGCTCAACACGTCTCCCCTTGCTCCTTGTAGGTTAGTCACACCGCTTTATCCTTTTTTCCTGTTCATACTCCTCTCTCTGTGGGAACTCAACCCTTCTCCCTTTTTCTAGTTAATTATTATTACTGCTATAATGGCTTTGTTGAGATAGTCACATACCATACAATTCATCCACTTAAAATGTACAATGCAATTTTAGAACATGGTCATTGCCCCCTAAAGACACCCCATATGTGAGCAGTTACTTCCCATTCTTCCTTCTTCCTAGTCCCTGGAAACCACTAACCCACATCCTGTCTCTATAGGTTTGCCTGTTCTGGACATTTCCTATATGTGGAATCGCACAGAATGTGGTCTGTGATGGGCTTCTGTCACTTAGCATGATGTTTTCAAGGTTCATCCATGTTGTGGAATATGGCTTATTTCATTCCTTGTCATGACTGGATAAAATTCCATTGTATGGATTCTCCATATTTTGTTTATTCATTCATCAGCTGATGGACATTTGGGTTGTTGCTGCTGTGAACATCCGTGTACCAGTTTTGTGTGGACATATGTTTTCAATACTCTTGGGTATATATCTTGAGAGTGGAATTACTAGGTCACATGGTGACAATGTATTTAACCGTTTGAGAAACTGCCAGATGGTTTTCTAAAAGCAGCTGTACCATTTTACACTTCCACAAGTAGCATACGGGAGTCTCAGTTTGTCTGTGTCCCAGCCCATGCCTGTTATTGTTCACCTTTTTGATTATAAAGTCGTAGTTCATATGAAGTCTCTCAGTGCGGTTTTCACTTTCATTTCTCTGATGATTAATGATGTTGAGTGTTTTCTCGTGCTTAGTGGCCATTTGTGGATCTCATTTGAAGAGATGTCTATTCAGGTCCTTCGCCCATTTTCTAATGGGGTCACTTGTCTTTTTATTGTTGAGGATCTCTTAGTTAGCTATTAATTAGCCTCAGACAAAGCACCGCTTTCTCAGGGAAGCTTTTGTGAGTTTCACTTTGTCAGCAGCCTGATCATTGTTTAATCTTTCTCCTGCTAGTCCATAAGCTTTATGAGAGCTGACTGTCATATTCTGCTATGCCCAGCACCAGACAGGAACCCAGTAAGTAGCTGCTGAATGAATGAAGAGAGCTTTTTTCCTTTAAAGATTTTCAGCACAGCAGCCACACGATGCAGAAGCAGCTGCAAGCCCACATGATGATACCGTTGGCTGTCGTAGCCTTTGTCTCTTCCTCTCATCTACCACCACGTGACTAATAGCCACAATAGTAATGAAAACACAGTATAATGTATAAGTTGGAAAGAAACGAGCAGGGCTAGGTTGAAGTCGCCAAGGATGGCAGACTGGCTGGTCAGTGGACTTGATGATTTGCAGAATGTTTCCCTTCATGTGTTCAGTCCTTAGCTTTGTGGGTTCAGGAACGTGATTTAATTGGTATCTCGATTGTGGGTTAGCCTCTCAGGGATGCATTCACTAAGTAAAAATGATAACAGCTACTCTTGAGTGAGTGAATGGAGCATTCTAAATCCCTGGCGATGTGCTAACTTCTTTCTGTATGGCATCTCATTTAACACAACAAAGCTTTGGCGGAGTTATTACTATCTCCATTTTTACAGGTAAAGACACTGAGATTGAGAGATTAAGAGTAAGTAAAGCCCAAAGTTATAGCCCAGAGTTATAATGAGACTGAATCCAGTACGATTCCAAAGTTGGTTCTCTTTTTCTCTTTGGTATTCTAAATGCCCAAGAGACTGAATCATAAGAGCCAATTTTAATTTGTGACAGGACTAGATTTGCAGAGGACAGTTGACACATCTCTACCCAGCACATTTTCTCGAGACAGATATGCAGGAAACCAGGTTATAATTCCTGAAATTCCCTTGGTGAGTGTGGGTCAGAACAAGAAGAGGTATCTATCTGATTTAAATGTTTAATGACATTTAAGCCACAGTATTCCGTTGTCACAATAGAGCTATCGTTCCGATGACACCAAACAGGTAATCCCAGCAAAAATGGAAATGAGGTTTGTGGCATGACTTGCTCAGGCTGAGACCTTGTGATTGCAGTATTCTGTGCATCTGTTGAATACCCTTTGCTACATTATTGTATTACATTCATATCAAGAATGCCTATCTATCATCTCCAAAAATCCATTTTTTTTTAAATTAAAAAAAGATGAGTAATAGCCTTTCTCTTCACAGCAGGAAGGACTGACTTTATCTCAAGTGATGAGCAGGAGCCGTGTAGGAAGAAGTGAGCTCTGCTTCTTGGCGTGCATGCCCCTTGTTGTGGTGCTGGGAGTGGACTTTGGCTTCCGGAGTGCTGACAGGTGTGAGGACAGTCCAGTGACAGTCCATTCACATTTTCTGTGTTCCATACCTCTCTCTCAGCTGAGTGGAACACTACTGACCTTTGGATGAGTGACCCTGATGGCAAGTATTTACTTGCCAAGGCCCTCAACTTCTGTGTGAATATAAATGCATGTGTGAAGAGGGGGCTCCTTCTGCTGTGTAGTTTCCTGTTTCCCTGCAGCTGTAAGAAGGCCTCTGCTGAACTGATGGGACTTGTGTGTTCTTACCTCGTCTCACCATGAATTGACTTGCCCCAAGAGGAGCCATTGCTAGCCCAATGCTAATACCATCTTTGACTCTAGGACAGTTTAATTCCCTGTCTCTTAATGAGAGATAGACATAAGAATTACCTTGGGAGCTTTAAAAACATTAGATGCACAAAGCCCCACCCCAGAATGACTTGAGTCAGAATCTCAGAAGTGAGGCCTGAGCGTGTAAACTTTTGAAAAACTCAAATGTCAGCCAACTCTAGACCCCCCAGAGACCTCAGTTTACCACCCTTCGGGCTTAGCTTCTTTGCTCGTAAGTTTGCAGAAGACCCTTTATCGTTTTTCTTCCAGTCACTCTGATGGAAAAAGAGGTAAGATACAAGATTCTGAGAAAAGGGAGCAAAGTGTTCTTGGCAAGTGAGAGTAGAGCACAGGAAGAGGGATGAAGGGGGAAAGTGAACAGTTGTAGCCTCAAGAGAGATAAGTAATCTTATAGAGCAATTTTGGGTAAGTGACAGCATCTCAGGGCCAGAATAAGAGGGTCTAAAAAAAAAAAGGGACCACTTTGGTTAAACAAAGGAAGAAATGGAATAGGGATACTTTTTTCCCTTCCTTTTAAAAAAAAAAAAAAAAAAAAAAAAACTTTCTCGAGGCATAATTTACATTCATTAAATTTTATCCATTTTATGTATAGTTCAATGAGATGTCTTTAAAAATTTTTGAGATAAACCATTAGCTAGACTTAAGAAGTAAAAAAAGAGGACTCAGATAAAATTATAAGTGCAAGAAAGAGAAATTACAACTGATACTACAGCAATACAAAGGATCGTAAGAGACTACTCTGAATGATTATATGCTGACAGATTGGGCAACAGAAGGAATGGATAAATTCCTAGAAATAGACAACCTATCAAGACTGAAGCATGAAGAAATGGAAAATCTGAACAGACCAATTACTAGGAAGGGGACTGAATGAGTAATCAAAAATCTCTTAACAAAGGAAAACCCTGGACCAGACAGCTTCACTGGTGAATTCAGCCAAACATTTAAAGAATTACCACCAATTCTGCTCAGACTCTATCTCAAAAAAAATTGAAGAAAAAGGAACATTTCCAAACTCATTTTATTAGGCCAGCATTATCCTGATACCAAAATCAAACAAAGACACTACAGGAAAAGAAAATCACAGGCCAATATTTCTGATAGGTAAAAACAAAATAGTAGCAAATTGAATTCAACAGTACATTAAAAGGATCATACGCCACAACCCAGTGGAATTTATTATGGAAGTGCAAGGACAGTTCAGCATCTGCAAATCAATGTGATATACCACAGATGAAATTAAGGATAAAAATCATATGATCATCTCAATAGATGCAGAAAAAACATTTGAGAAAACAACATCCATTCATGATAAAAACTCTCCACAAACGGTATGGAAGGAATGCCCCTTAACATGATATAGGCCATAAGTGATGAGCCTACAGCTAACATCTCATTGGTAAGAAGCTGGGTGAGAGCTTTTCCTCCAAGATCAGGACAAGACAAGGCGCACATTGATCATTTTTATTCAACATGGCACTGGAAGTCCTAGCCATAGCAATTAGGCATAAGTAAAAGGAAACCAAATAAGAAAGGAAAAGGTAAAATTGTCTCTATTTGCAGATGACATATATAGAAAACTCTAAAGACTCCACTAAAAATAAAATGAGTTGCATTTCTATTAACTAATGGGAATCTATCAGAGAAATTAAGAAAACAATTCCACTTAAAATTGGCATCAAAAAACAATAAAATACTTAGGAACTCATTTAACCAAGGAGGTGAAAGATCTACACACTGAAAACTATATGACATTAATGAAATTAACTGAAGAAGACAAATAAATGGAAAGATAATCTGTGCTCATGTATTGGAAGAATTAATATTGTTAAAATGTCCATACTATGCAGGGCGATCCATAGCTTCAGTGCAACGCCTATCAAAATTCCAAAAGCATTTTTCACAGAAATAGAACAAACAATCCTAAAATTTGTACACAGCCACAAAAGACCCCAAATAGCCAAAGAAATCTTGAGAAAGAACAAAGCTGGAGTCATTACATTTTGTGATTTCAGACTTTATTACAAAGCTATAGTAATCAAAATGCTATAGTACTGGCATAAAAACAGACATGTCGATCAGTGGAACAGAGTAGAGAATGCAGAAATAAATGCACACATATCTGACTAGTTAATGTCTGACAAAGGAGTCAAGAACATACACTGGAGAAAAGATAGCCTCTTCAGTCAGTGGTGCGGAAAAGCTGAATAGCCGCATGCAGAAGACTGAAACTGGACCCCTAGCTTACACTGTAAACAAAAATAAAATGGATTAAAGACTTACATGTAAGACCTGAAGCTGTAAAGCTCCTGGAGGAAAATGGGGCAAATTTCTTGACATTGGTCTTGGCGCTGACTTGGATTTCACACTAAGGCAGAGGCAACAAAAGCAAAAACAAACAAGTGAGAACATCAAACTAAAAAGCTTTTGCACAGTTAAAGAATTTAACAAAATGGAAAGACAACCAATGAAGTGGGAGAAAATTTTTATAACTATCTATCTGATAAAAAGTTGATTTCCAAAATATATAGAGAACTTACACAACTAAGCAAACACAAAACAAAGCAAAAAACAAAACAAAACAAAACCCAATTCAATTAAAAAATGGGCAGAGGAACTGAATAGACGTTAAAAAAAAGACATATGTGGTCCACAGGTATATGACAAGATGCTCAACATTACTAACCAGGGAAATCGAGTCAGAACCACAATGAGGTGTCACCTCACACCTGTTAGTATGGCTGTCATAAAAGATGAGAAAAAACATGTTGGTTGAGGATGTGGAGAAAAGGGAACCCTTGTGTACTGTTGGTGGGAATGTTAATTGGTGCAGTCACTAAATAGTATGGAGATTCCTCAAAAAATTAAGACGCGAAATACCATATCAGCCAGGATTTACACTTCTATCCAAAGGAAATGAAAATAGGCTGTTGAAGAAATATCAGCATCCTTATGTTTATAACAGCACTATTTACAATAGTCAAGCCATGGAAACAAGCTAAGTGTCCATCAGTGGATGAGTGGATAAGTAAAATGTGGTGCATGTATCAGTGGACTATCATTCAGCCACACACAAAAAAAGGAAATCCTAATGTCTGTAACAACATGGGTAGACTTTGAGGGCATCATGCCAAGAGGTAGGCAGAGAAAGATAATACTGCATGGTATCACATATTCGGAATCTAAATAAAAGTCAAACTCCTTACAAAGACTTCTGTAAATTGGTATTTTGTTGTGTAATTATACATTAGCTTAAAAATTCAGAAAACTAACCAAAAAACTCTTATAAATCACTCAGTCACTCACAGGTAAGGATTGTTAACATTTTGGTATATAGCCTTCTATAATCACTTAAATTTAAGTTGTAGATACTTTAAATAAAAACAAGATCACACTGTAAAAATGTTTGTGACCTATTCTTTATACTCAACAGTATACTGTGAACAAAATTAAAAAATACACTCACCAAATTACAGATGTCACAAAGCTGAGAGGAAAATTCAGTGTATAAAAAAGAATCAGAGTATGGAACAATCTAGAAATATCTCAGGCCGAATTAACAAGATTAAATTGAACAGGGATACATTTACAGTTTGAACTTAAAGATGGAGATTTGACTTTGCTCTCATCAATTTGGAAACTGACATATAAGACCACTGTAAAAGAAGTAGACTCCAAGTTCAGTGCCAAGACTGTGAAACCCCGTCATGGTGACCTTCTTACTGTTTAGGAACAGGAGATGGCGATTGCATGGACAATTAACAGTGTTCTCCATATGCTTCTCTTTCTCTGATGTCACATTTAGGATTTTACTCACTATTCTGTTGTCTTCCCAATCTATATCTAGTTCTGACTTCTGAGTTCCAGGCACATTATCATCTGCACTTAGACGTCCTGCCAGTAGCTCCACCTATGAGGCTGAAATGCTACTCATGCTATATCCTGGAACTGAGAAGAACTCCACATTTCCACCCAAAACACTGATCAACACCCCACACTCACTCTCCAGTACCAGGAAATGGTCATCTAGGACTACTCCTTTCCCATTACTTCCCACATCTAATTCCAAGTTGCCTAGATTTTAGCTTTTTCCAACACATCTTGTATCCGTGCTTTCCAAATGGGTTGATTTGTTATTAATGTGGCTCTGTGTGTGTGAATTTATATCAATATAAGAATGCGTGTTGTACATATGTAATGTGAGCTTTAAGTGAACCTGAGAATATTACTCTTAATGCCATATATACAACTGGCAAACTAACCAGGAGGAGAGAAAAATCATAAACTCTTGGTTTGGTTTTGTAAAGTAGCACTAATTATAGTCATCTGCATAAACTTTTTTCATTTGTTCTTAATTACTGTGCAGTGAAATAATGATTAAAACAACAAGCGATTGTGTCAGATTACTTTTTTGTAAGTTTTATTCAGTTATGATTGATGATGTATCAGTCCTTATTATTGACAGTAATGAAACACTGTGGTTTGATCATAACTTTTGGAACCTAGAAGGCACACTGCCAGCATTCCAGAGAGGAACGCTTAGACAACTGTTGTCCCACGGTTGCCCATGTGAAGTTCATCCCAGTTTGGCGAATAGGACTTGATAGCATGTGCAGTTAAAAGACATAAGAATGCCAAAGCAAGTTTAAGGACAGAGGAGTGGCCAGTTATGAGCTCAAACAGCAATAATTAATTTATTATCAGTACAGGGATCCCTGCTGCTGGAATACAGAGCTTCATGGCAATGGGAAAGCATGACTTGGACCAAAGTGTAAATACGTTACACTCAGCCTGGAAAACACTGTCTTGTGAGGATGCCTGGCCACGCTCAGAGACTGCGAGGACTTGCCATAAATATGCTAATACATTATTATTAACTTAAACATATATTAATAAATATATAAATAATAACTTAAAGTAACACTTCATGCTTTGCCTTCTTGAGGCTCAGTTTCAAGAAGCATTTTACTAAAATGATTTCATCGAGTGTCATAAAATACTGTTGAGGCAGAAAGGACATCAGTATCATTCTCTCCAAGATGATCAAACTGTGGTCTCAGAAACTTAACTATATCTGATTAAGGGTCCATCAGCAACTTAAAAGCAGAAGGCAAGCAGATGGAATGGAATCCTGGGTCTATGGCTCATATGTGACACAGGTAGGGTCCCTTTGATAGCCATAGCCAGTAGCCCTGGCCCTCCCAATGTTGTTAGGGAGAATAGTAATTAAAATGATTGGTACTTTGCAAAGTATAGGGTGTTTCTTAAATAACAAGCCCTATTATACATTAGTGTTGGTTCACTATACCTCACTCCCTCTCTTACAAAGAGTAAACATTCTTTTAGAATTATGAAGGCTCAGTGCATGGCTCAGCAGGTGACTAAGAGTAAAGGATTTGACTCCTTCATGTACATGGTACATACGACTGTCAACGCTTCACACATTAGCAGACTCCATTATCAAGGCCTGTTTTCCAGTATCTGAAAGTCCGTGATGGAGGGCTGCCCCCTCGCCATATGCACCAGCTGTTCTTGTTTTGTGGCAATGAACAGCTTTGGTTGGGCGACTGACTTGAAGTAGTTCTTTGTGCCGTGACTTTCCCAGAGGAAGAGGAGATTGGTCTCATCTTTGATGGCTTTGGGTGTCTCAGGCATCTCCTGGGAAAAGGACAGAGATCTGTTAGAGAGCAGGGAGGTCCCAGAAGGGGACTGAAGCTTGCTCCCTCGGCACTTGGCCTTCGTGAGGAGCAGCATGTTAGGACGGTGACTCGTAATGTGCTATAGGTTCCTCATTCACTTATTCATTCAGCAAGCATTTATTCCACGCCTGTTAGATGTATGGCCCTGTCTACTCATATAACAGTTGACCTCCTTAGTTAAATGGAGAGAGATCCAAATGAGTCATGAAGATTCCCAGTGACACTTGTGCTCCCTGTGTCCTGGCAGGTGGAGTGAAATACTGATCTTGTCTTGCCTCCAACACAGGCACAGGGCGCTTTCCATCAGATCTGAGCCCTGGTGATTCTAGGACCTCTTAACATTTTGACCTCTGTGCAAATCTTACCTTTGGGAAAAGAATTTGTAACTTAGAGATGTTTATGTCCGTATTTAGGTCAACAGTTGAAGGTTAAAAAACCAACACACACATACCCGCCCCACACACACTTCCTGGTATATTGACAGTTGAACTTTCAATATAGTTGTTGACAGTTGTGATCTCTAAACCAACCCTCCTCATGGTTATGAATAGAATCTACAGTATTTTTTTTTGAAAAGTAAAATGCAGATTCCAACTTGAGATGCTTCTCTACTCTTTTTAATCTAGAGCAACTAAATATCTTTTTGAGTTTTCAATGTCAACGAGGATTTTATTTCCCAAACTTGTTCCTCTCCTCATTGTTCTCATCTCATAAATGGAGTTTCTTTTCTTCTTTTGGGTTCTGTCTCCAAAATATAACCAGACTCTGTCTCCTTTCCTCCTCTCTCAGCACTTTCCACTAAGTGACTATTACTACAACCTCCTACTTGGGCCCTCTGCTTTCTCTGTTGCCTGCCTTCTGATCTGTTCTCCATTTTAGGAAATGGAAGTGAAGCCATGACACTTCTTTGTGTGAACCCTTTAACGGCTTTTCATTGTAACTCAGATGGAATCCAAAAGCAAGTATCCACCAACACTAGCCTCTGCTTACCCCTCTTCACGGTGCCCGGCTCCTAGAGTGTCCATCTGATCTTGGAAGCTGGCCTTCCAGCTCTTCAAGTCTGGGGTCTGGGAGCACTGAGACCCCTCTGTTTGGAATGCCCTCCTCCCATCAGCAGCTCTGCCCTTGCCTCCCCAAAGAGCACGCCTCCATCTCAGTACTCTGTCCATTTACTTCACAGCATCTTGCACTTTGTGCTAGTCGTTTGGCTTGCCCGTTGTTTGTGTCCCCAAGGTGAATAAGTTCTCTAAGGCTAGGGACTTTGGTACACCACTGTCTACCTAGCTACTGGCACTATGCTTGGCAGATAGAAGGCTCCCAGTATAGGACTTCATGTACATGGGCGACTTCATGAAGGAAGCTCCTGCCTGACTCAGCAGATAGCACTCTCGTCTCACTTGACCCAGACAGAGAATCACATGCACCACGTAAATCTTGGGGCTGGGGCCTGGATTATGCATTCACTGAGCAAGAGTTGCCTCCTTTTTGGGAGAAAGCGTCGAAGACCACAGTGGGCATGTGTCCCTGAGTGTGCAGGGGCAGGGGGTAGTGGGGGTGGGGCTGGGCTGAGGGACAACGCGGGCACCGTAGAGCAGAAGAGAGGCACAGGAGTCAGAAGGCCTGGGCTTGGGTCTTGGTTCCAGCTTTTCGCTTCATGCCCCTTGGTATGCAGTCAACCCACTCTGATCTCAGTGGGCCTGTTCGAGTTTTTGGGAGGCAGGCCCACTGTCCCCACACCTATATCCACAGATGTCACATGGTAGGTGTCAGGGCCAAAGGTGGATGAACTGCATGGTGTCCTGGGACAGGAAGCGAGGAAGGTCAGGCAGAGGGAGGGAGGAGGAGGAAGGCACTCTACCCTCTCATTTACTCTGGCCACCTCTATTTGACTCCCTCCCAGGTCCTGCCTTAAATGGCTCCGGGGCAGGTGGGGATGTGTGTGCTCACTAGGGTCATTCACAGATGTATGTGATATCACAAAGGCACATTGGGGTCTGAAGGTAACTGACCTTCAGCAGCACAGGCTCATCTTCGTTTTGGGCACTCAAAAAGAGTCGTGTTTCTGAGATTCTTAGAGTCACAGGAAATGGAGAATCTTCATCTGTTATGTAAGCACCCATGTCAAATTTCACTGGTGAAGAGAAAAGCCAAAGAGAAAGTAAATGCTTTGTACTTGTATAACATCAGGTGTTTATGTAGATGCTGTGTGTATGTGTGTGTGTGGGCGGGGGACGCGTTGTTCCTGGCTACAGTGTAAGAGATGGGACTTGGCATGTCCTATGTCCTTCACAGTATCGGCCATTTGTACTAGGCAGGTGAATGCTTGGTTAATTAATGTCTTTAGAATTTTCTATGTTGAGTGAATGCTTGGGGCTGGAGATTACTTGAGTCTTTCATAATTACTTTAGTGGGAGAAGACCCTGCACTTTGTGAAGTCATGAGTTCGTAATGACATGAAATGGAGGAATTTAGGGAAGCTGATACACTCATATGTCACTAGTGACAGTGACAAGTGGATCAGTTTTCCTTAGAGAACAGTGCTTAATAAGAGCTGTAAAATCATTTATGCCCAGGGGCTCAAGGGTTCCACTTTGGGATATGCTGTAAAGAAATAACCTCATAGGAAAAAAATTATATGTATGAAGATATTTTCAATAGAGTTACTTTTAGTGAATCCAAGGGACCAGCACAGCCACACGATAGAAAATTCTGGTTACATTAAAATGGCAAAAACAAAAACAAAAACATATATATGTGTAAATATGTATGTAAATATGTATGTATTATGTGACTACATGGGAAAACTGTGGGAAAAGTTAAACAGGAAATAGAACATAATGGTTCGTAGCTGTCCCCAAATAGGGGCACGCTAGCTTAAGCTGGCTCACTCAGAAGGAGCCCTGTTGCTGACTGCAGGGGAACCCTAGGTCTCTGGACATAACCATGTGTGCGATGGCTATGCTGGAGCTAAGCTGTGTGTGCCGTGGAACTGGACACGACATCCTACCCTTGGGGTCACACCCGTGGCGCTGGCTGATCTGCCTCCTGGTAATTCTATGTAATCGTGACCATGGTCTTTTCCAGTTTGGCGTCCTGTCAGCCCGTTCCGCAGGCTTGCTAATGGAGAGCGAGCGCTTCAGGTGACCTGGCGTGAGCCATTACTGTTCCCGGGACTCAGTTTCCTCCTCTTTGAGACAGAGGGTAAGAATGGCTGGGACCCCAGAGGGAGGGACAGCATCAGAAAGCCACGTGGTGTGGTGTTGGCTCTCAAGGCCGGATGCCCCAGTGTGCATCCAGGTTGGGCCGAAGCCCTGCCTTCACCCGGGGTTTCTGTGGGGATGACCTGCATTCTCCTGTCCTTGGAAGAGTTGTGTGGGCCAGGGATCTAGAGAGGTTTGTTCTTTGAAAGCAGAAAGCTTGAAAAAAGCAGAGAAATAAGAGTGAGGGAGGATGGCTGAGTTGTCTCCTTACCTGCTTGGTTGAGGTCATTTAGTGCAGCTGCCATGAGGTACTGACCCGATGTATCTCGAATGAGACTCTGACTGAGTGTGTCACTCAGGATGCACTGCTGTTTGATGACCTTCATGAAGCTGTACTTCATGCTGCTCTGGAAGCTCACAGGTGCCAAATGGGGCTGGATGGGTTCTGCAACCAGGAACAGTCTGGTTAGTGCCCATGCACAGACACAGATGACATGTCTGCTCTGGCACAAGTGCACGAGGTGGCTATGGAAGGGATACTGGGGGTAATTTGTGCAGTCGAGAAAACAGGTGAAGTCACCTGCAGCAGGAGAGTTGGCTCCAGGACTGTTCCTGTGGTCACTTACTCTCTCTAAACTTTGATGTCTCAGACAGTATTTTTAAAAGAGATTATTCGTGCAGTTTCCTCGTTTTTGCTTGTTTTAAGGTTTCTAAGTAACCAGGAAGACTGCTAGTGTCCCCTGCCTAAGCTTCAGGTGGCCACACTCTGAGGCAGAAACAAGTACAAGTACTACCCATGTCACTGGGCAAGCATGTCCCGGTGTCTCCCGCCCCTCCGGGCAGTGCTGTGTTGCGGCAGCCCCACCACCCTCACGGCCCTCCGTCACTCTGTGCCCGAGGGTCTGTTCTCAGGAAGTAGGTGGTGACAGAAATGAGGTTCATCGATGGGCGCAGCCACGTTGCATCACTTACAATGGCGCCATCCTGGCAATCTGAAATGCCCCTGACCTGCTGCTAAGTGAATGAAGCTAGGTGCAAGACCGGGCACAGCGTGAAATCAAGCGAGCCAAACAGGCATGTTCACGCAAGACTGTTGGGGATGTCCCAGCGTGCTGGTGCCGGCAAGCTCTTAGTGGTCGTACGAAGGATTTTTGATTTTCTTTCTTACATTTTCTTCTATTTCCTCATATTGTAGGTGAACATGTATCAGTGTTTAGCTGTTCTCTTAAAAATCTTAGGTTTATGTTTCATGTAGAGGGCTGCAGAGGCCCGGGAGGAAAATCAGGATTTCTGTAGGAACCGAGTTGGTCTGCTCACACACGGTGTGACCAGGTTCCCCATGTATATGGTGAGAATGCGGGGTTCTGGTGGAGTTCAGAGGTCACACAGCCACCAGCAAATCGGTGGTGTCAGCATTGTCAACAAGGGAAGCAGCAGCAGTACCAGCGACAGCAGTAGCTGCCATTTGCTGAGCGTTCACTGTGCGCCAGGGGCTTGCCAGCATCAATGCATTTAATCTCCATAAGTGGGAGCTTGGATCGTCTCCATTTTACAGGAGAGGAAACAGAGGCCAGGGAGGCACATAGCCTGCAGGTGGTCACCCGCCAACAGTGTGTATGCAGCCACGCTGCTGGAGGGCCGAGTCACACGGCTGCTGTGGTATGGCCATGCAGTTAGCGCATGAGCAGGGGTTTGAGACTCAGGCCACTGCTGGTGGGGGTAGAAGTTGACTTTCCTTCCTTACACCCTCCAGACTAATGCCCGGTTGCCCTCTTGTGCCTCTGATCCCAGGTGCCCCATGCTCTCTTGCCCCCATTTGCTTAAAAGTAGAAAGCAAGGGTCTTATGGCATGTAGCCCCTACCTTCTTTTGTATCGTTGGCAATGGCTTCCAGGTCTTCATCGGTGATGAACTGATCGAAACTCAGTCGCCTCTTCTTCAGGACCTTCCCGTCGGCTGCCAGCACCACCACACTCTCCTTGAAGGTGAGCTGAGACATCTTTGAGGCCTCTGAGGTACCCAGAGACCTAAGTTTACCTCCATGGTCTTCATGCAGTGTGTCGTAGCTTGTGTCATAGAAGGATTTCTACAGGGAAAGGAGTGGGAACTGGTAGGCTGACTGTGATCTTGGAGTGAGACCCATACCTACGGGAGTGAAACTCTGCAGGCTCGGTGCAGAAGATCTCTGCTAACCCCTGGTTCGTCAGTCGTCCCACCCCCAGAATTTCCTAGAGAGCGTGCATCTCTTGGCCAGCCTTTGGCATCCACCTGCTGAGTCAAAAATCAGATGCCATGAAACAGGTTCACAAGTGGGGCCTCAGCGGTGGCCTTCCAGGTGGGTCTCCTCAGGACGTTAGGACAGGGCTCAGATAAGTCAGAAATGCTCCTCTGAGGATAGCTTTTGGGGCTGGTACCAAAGACACACCAGGAAGACTTGTGAGTGGCCCGCTTCCTCTGCCTCGGCTCCTGGCTGTCACGTTGAAGTGCTACCTCTGAGGTATGGAGCTGATGACTACAATATATCTCTTTAAGAGACTGATCCCTGGGGAAGTGATCTGAAGGGGCCGTCTTGGGGTAGCATCACTAGTATGCCGATGAAGCCTGGAGACTCCAGTTTTGGGATCCAGGGAACTCCACTCTACTTTGGGACATGTGGTGCCCATGGGGATGGCATCAGCTCAGTGCAGAGGGGCCTCACTCATCACGAACAGACACCTCTCTCCCGACATCTCAAGAAGGCCCTGCGGAAGGCCCTGGGGCTGTCCTCTGGTGCAGATAATACAGCTGTGTCACAATAGCCGTCCCACCCAGATGGGTCACAGTCATTTGCTTACCTGATTCAGAGAGAGTTGGTCAGCATCAGAACTATATTCTTCATTCTCACTGTCAAATAAGATGATGAGAATGTCATTCTGTATATCACTGTGGCCACAGTCACCGAGTAGCGTATTTTAGTGACACACACACACACACACACACACAGACACATAGACACACAAACACACAGACACACACAGACACATGGACAGATACATAGACACACACACACAGGCACACAAATTTACACAGACGCACACAGATATACACAGATACACACGCACAAACAATCACAGACAGATCTACACACAGACACAGACACAGACACGGACAGATACACACACAGATACATACAGAGGCACACACACACACACATACACACACTGACATATACACATACACAGCCACCACTGTTATCTTTGAAAATTAAGGACTTTATACACACATATACTGGGTGACTTGTACCTCACTAATTTGGAATCGGTAACCATCAGAACTGGTTTTGACCTATTCCCATGCCTTATCAACAAAGACAGGGCTTGGCTAACAACCTGAATAGCTGTGATTGAATTTCAGGGAAAATGTTAAGCTCCTCAGAGAAAGGAAGTACTTCTGAAACGTCTCATTTATTTTTAACCAAATAGACTATGTATTCCACGTTGTTTCCACATACTCACTGAAACAGACTTAATCGTTTCTACTTGGCAAAATGTCCAGGCAGCATCTGGCTGGCCTAGCGTGTGTTGGTGCATGGTGCTGAGTGGTGGGAACCTGTTTGTGAAAGTGCTCCGTGATTCACACATTTTCCTGTTATGTTTCTCCTGTGTCTGCGTGCACTCTGACTGGGGTGAGCTCTGGAGCATTTCCCTCCCTGGGTTGAGCCTGGGAAGTGTCCTGAGAATGGTCTGTCAGCACTCCAACCCATGTCTCTCGGAGCACGTGACCCCGGCCCAGGCTGTGTCGGAGTAGATGCAAATTCCCCAGGACTCAGCAGGCCTTAAAAACAGTTTTTCTGTAATGGCTGTCTCCCTGTCAACATTACAGCAGTATAATATGTTGGATGCCTGGTTTCCCCGGGTCTTTGCCGAGCTTGCCCTAACTTTGGGAGTGGGACGCATCCCCACCGCCTCTGCCAGCCAGCCCGAGCCAGTCACTGCAGCTCCTGGTTGGGTTATGATGTGCCTGATCCCCCATCAGATGGCAAGAGAGTCTGTTTCCTACCTGTAACAATTCTTCAGGTCTTCAAAGACGTCGGGGACCTTGGCCATCTTGCCTGCGGTGCCAGCGATCCAGCTCCACCCTTCCTGAGCTGCTGGAGAAATGTAAGGTGTGACTTAGCCCCCACACACATCTCCGTCCTTTTCACTCCTGTGCATTAATTGTATGTATGTTTCCCCAGCGACTCAAAACCTCTTGGCATCCCACCATGTCCAGCCCAGCATGTGCACACAGCAGGCATTCAGTGAGGTTTGGGTAAGGTGAAAAACCCCACAGGAATGAGGAGTTTGCCTCACAAGATGCAAGAGAGGCAGAGCCGGAAATTTCCAGCGTTTTCCCCTGATGGTTTTTGGAAGTAGAGCTACCCAGAGGGAAGGCTTGGCTGCACTGCTTGCCCTCACAGGAAGGCAGCTCCTGTGTTCCTCAGTCCCCAACTAGAGGAAGAGTCGTTTCTTTAATTTCATTGTGATTCTAGCTCACACACCAAGCCAGGGAGGGGCCAGAAAGGAAGGAGCAGGCTTTAGCTTCAGAGAGGCAGTTAGAGAGAGAACAGTCAAGGAGAAGAACAAAAAAACATTTTAAAAGCTGAAGATGTGAGGACATTACCTTTGCCGACTCAGGTGCCAGTGAGGTGGCCCTCAGGCACCCTGGCCTTTTGTCTTCTGTGCAGTAGGCGTGGCCTTGTGCGTCATGGGGAATTCACAGGGAAGAACCCTGTTTTGAATCTTTTTATGTTCATTCAATCTCATACTGGCCAAAATAATGACATTATACTTGTTATTGCTCTTTGTAGAGACTCCTGGAGCTGCCGACTCGATTCACTTATTTATTGCTTTGTTCTAAACAATTATAAACACAGAATCTTAGAAAAAGGGAAGACAAGCAGGAAACTTACCAAGTTTCTAAAAAATATGGTGGGAGAGGAAGGAGAACTGAAATCAATCACGGATGTCTAGGGTTGGAGAGCGGCTTAGGAGCTGTAGTTTGAGTTTTGGCCTAATTTTTTTATGGCCCTGGGGCCGATTATGTGTCGACAGGGTGCCTGGCAGCCCCTGGGAACTAAGGGGTGGCTGTTGAGGGAAGAGGACCTGACATTTCTGAAGGGAAAAGAGAGAGGTTGGCTTGAGTAGGCCTAAATCATTCAGTATATGGGTGACAACCCCCTGGTTAGGGCAGAACAAAGGTGAGAAGGGGACAGTCAAGCACAAAGGGCTTCTCCTCTTACACCTCTGCAGACCGTCACACATCCCCCACAGAATGACAGCTTTGGGAGAGCTCTGTGCCCTGGCCGCATTACAGCCAAGTGACTGTCCACTGGAGCCCCTGAACAGTGTGCTCTTCCCTAGGACAGACCCTAGGCATGTGAGGGTGGCTGTGGACTTGGGGCTGGGTGGGCTGAGCCCTGCCACAGGCCAGGGGTGAGGTGCAGGAGTAGAAGTGGGGAAGGCAGGGACTCAGGTATGGCAGCACATCAGCCTTTTCAGGATTCTGAGATGAGCCCAGTTCAGGTAGACAACACCAGGCTCTCAACAGGTAAATGTTTCAGATTTCTGGCTTAGAGTTTAAGCCAAGTAAATTTAAAAGAAAGGAAATGGATGGAAGAAGAGAGTAGAGGAAGAAAAAAAGGTAAAGAGAGAAAGGCCAGGCATGGCAACACGGTATAAAAGCAACACGGTATAAAAGCAACACGGTATAAAAGCAACACGGTATAAAAGCAGTGTAGCATTGGGCATACGTGGCCTGAGCGGGTCACGTAGCATGTCCCCTCTGGGCCTGCTCATTAAGTTCTGGGGTCAGTCAGCTGGTCGCCAAGGTCCAGCCAGGTGCAGAGGCTCTGGTTCTGACTGTTGCTCAGTCCAGTCCCCCAGTCATAGACCTGGTGCTGCAATTGTTGTAAACAGGAGCTAGGACATAGCTGGCATCCTGGATGTAGGTCCAGGTTGGGCAGAGCTTGGGTGGCAAGATGGTCAATGGGGATGGTGGCCAGCTCCCTGCACCTGTGGTTCCCCTTCAGGTATCACAGGAGGTTGGCGTGGCCACGCTCTGCCATCCGGAGGTCTTGTGAGGGCTGTTACTAAGCACACTGTGAATGTGGGCTGCTACGGAGATGCAACTAAACAAAGTAACAGCAGCACTAATGACGGCTCTGTCCCTGGAACCTGTATCATCGTCATCATGCCACCTTGGGCCACCAAAGGAAAAATAGCGCTTGTGGAAATGTTGGTGAAAAAACTTGAGCAGGGAGGACATGAGCAGGTGAGGCCTCTGTCGAGAGTACAGGTGCTGAGTTTCTGGGAGGGTGCACAGCACCTCTTGGGTAACCCAGGAGGATGCCGCTGGCTCTACCGTCAGTGGTCATGCCTGTCCTGGCTGATGCCACTCTGGTGTGGAGAATTCCCTAGTATAGTTGTTGAATTTTTCAGGGGGAGTTTAAATTCTTTAGACAACTCAGCTTGGGCCTCACCTAACTGTCCTTCAGTTAGGTAAACCGGTTGTTAAAGGAAGGACAGTGCAGGTGAAGGGTAGAGAGTGACGTCCTTGCTTGGCTCTGGGGAGCCTGCTGTTCTGTGAGTGCAAACAAGGGTTGACCTGTGAGGCAGCCTCAGCACCAGGCCACCTCTTCTAGGGAATGCAGGGAAGGACATACCAGATACATCTCCACTGGAGCCCCAAGGGGCTTGGGCACTGTCCTAGTCCAGGGACTTTGGGTCATCTTGATCCTTTGGGTCAAGAGATGTGCCCATCTCTTGACTCCCAAGAGGCCTCAAAAACCCTTGTTGAGTCATTTTTACCTAAACCATTGAGAAAAATATTACTGCATACTTATTCTGTGCCATGTGGCAGTGTGTTTCTTTCGCAAGTCACAGAATTAGATGTGCAGGGGGAGATGATGTGTGAGGTGGGTGAGTGGACATGCTCTGGCAGCTCGGAGTGCATGGGTCCAGAGAGGCACGGTGTTGCTTTTCCTTGGAGAATGCGTCATGGTTCTCAGCTCTCACCAGCACTGTCTCCCCGGCCCTCATTTTACCCACGAGAGGTGGTGACAGTGGTCTCCATTCTCAGCTGAGGACCCTGAAGAGTGACTAGCCTCCAGTCACAAAACTGGCAGAACCAGCATTTGAACCTAGGTTTCTGGTTTGGAGCCCAGTCTTCTCTTTCCACATGTAGGTGCTCAAATCTTTTGTCACCACCAATGCCAAGTGACAGGGCTGGGGCAGATCATCCTAAAGGTCCTTCCCGCCTCAGATACCCTGTCCTCCAGTGTCATTCTAGGGCTCTTTGTTTAAAAAAAGGTAGAAAAGGAAACAGTTTGAAATAGTTCCCCTCCCCATCTTCCCTCCTCCACTGAAATTTCGTGGTTTTTTTGTGATGTACAGGAAAGGGTGAAGGTGGCCAGCACAGTTGAGTACATGGTCAGCAGTGGCTGGGTGGGGGTTTCAGTCAGGCTTTTACCATTGTACCCCGAAGACAGGAAATGTCTGTAAACATCTTTGTAACTGGCTTTGAAGTCCTCGCCCATCGTGGGGTCTGGCAGGGTTGCCAGATTTGGCACTCTTGCTCTGAGTCTTTGGGGTGTGCGGCTCCTTTGCGGGTGGTGGGACTCGTCTCCCGAGGAGCAGCGTGTGCACGAGCCAACACATGCGTACAGTGAAGCCTGGTTACAATCTGCTTTTCAGCCCCATGACAGCTGCGGGGAAGACGAAGGCCTGGGAAACCTAGAAACACTAGGTCCAGGTGTGACCATGCATCACCTCTTCTTGGCTTCGAATCAGGCCTGTAAGGGAGGCATTTGTCCCATACTGCACGGAAGGCGGAGCCGTGGGCCGGGAGGGGAGCAGTCTGCTGAAGTCGCAGGGTAACCGGTGGCCGAAGCGGGATTTGGACCCCGGGCCCAGGCTCTGTCAGTCCCGAAGGCGCCCCCTTTCTGGGTGTGATCTCTTCCTTTCCTTTGCTCTATTTAGTTTCTCATCGTTTTTGCTTTGTCTTGTTCGTCTCTTGAAGGACCTAGCATGCTCTACTGGAGAAGGAGTCACCTCAGAGGCTGTCTGGATTAAACTCTTACTTTTTAAAAGAGGAAACAGGCTCCGAGAGGGAACTCATGGCCCCAAGGTCACATGGAGGGGTCATATGAGAGTGGGGGCAAAAATGGAAACTCACTGTTTCTTGATTTCTAGTTCAAAGTGTCCTACTACCTAGAGACACAGGCTCCTCCGTGAGAGGGCAAGGAGAAGGAGCAGTCTCTTCGCTTCTCACCTGAAGTGGAAAAGGAGCTGACGGGAATGACTCCATTCGGTGAGCAAAGCCTGCCATGGTCCCCGCTGTCCTGGAGCTGAGGGTGAAGATCACCCGAGTGGGTGACAAGCACACGCCATCCCAGATTGGGACACTGGAGATGCTTACCACTACACCAGCCTCATGAGGATGGCTGAAGGAGGAGAGAAGATCAGAAATATGGCTGACAAAATGGCAGCACCTACATATCTATCAGCAGTTACTTTAAATGTAAATGGATTAAATGCACCGATCAAAAGACATAGGGTGGGTGGCTTACAAGAGGTTCACTTCAGATTGAAAGACACACAGACTGAAAGTAAAGGGATGGAAAAAGATATTTTATGAAACCGGAAATCAAAAAAAAAACCAAACCAAAAAAACTGGGTAGCAATACTTGTACCCGACAAAATAGATTTTAAAACAAAGGCTATGACAAGAGACAAGAAGGATCCAGTAATTCCACTTCTGGGTATTTATCAGAAGAAACCCAAAACACTACTTTGAAGGGTCATGTGCATCCATATGTTCACTGCAGCATTATTTACAGTAGCCAAGATATGGAGGCTGCCTGAGTGTCCATCAAAGGATGATTGGATAAAGAAGCAGCAGTACGTATATACAAAGGAATATTTCTCAGCCATAAAAAGAATGGAATCCTGCCATCTGCAACAACATGGATGGACATAGAGGGTGTTGTACTGAGCGGAGTAAGTCAGAGAAAGACAAATGCCATATGATTTCACTTACATGTGGAATCTAAACAAAATAAATGAACAAACAAAACAGAAACAGACTCATAGAGAACATTTTGATGGTCGCCAGATGGGAGCGGGGAAGAGACTCTGAAGTACAAACTGGCAGTTACAAAACAGTCATGGAGATGTGAAGTACAGCACAGGGAACATAGTCATATTGTGATGATTGGGTACGGTGTTGGGTGGGCACTAGGTTTATCGGGGGATCACTTCATAAGTATATAAATGTCTAATCACTGTGTTGTACACCTGAAACTAATATATTTTATATCAACCGTAAGTGAAAAATAAAAAATTATTTAAAAAAATCAAAAGCACACATAGAGGCAAGTGTGGTGATAGTATGGACAGAGGAATCTCTCTCGGGCTGGTGCGGGTAGCTCCCTGGAGAAGGAGGAGGGTACACTGCAGGTTGAGCAAAGGCCAGGGGTTGAATGAATTAATGTAGGAGTGAGGAGGTGATGAGGTGATGCTGGAAGGAAGATGAGCCAGTGGACAGGACCAAGTGTGAACCCCTCTCAGGTCTTTGCCTGTTAACTTTGTGGGCATTCTGGGCCCTGGAGAGCAGAGGGATGCTGTGACTTGGCATAGGTGGAAAATCCAAGTTGGTAGAAGGGACAGCTCCACAGAGAGCTGGCAACCCCCCATGTAGCCGGGATCCCCTCCCTGCCTGAGCTCATTTGTCCCCTATTCATGTGCTCTTTTTTCTACATACCCTTCCCCTTTCTTTGGAGGCAGTGATGCACAGTGCTGTACCCCTCTTGCCTGCCGTTGGCTCTGTGCCCTGCTCTCTTACGCAGACGAGCTGTAAAAATGGGAGTTCACTAGTGAGCTTCCTGTGTGGCCCCAGGCGTGCCTGCACCCGCCTCTCACGTTTGTTCTTGCTGGCTAATTGGATTTAAAGCAATTCCCTTTCCTTTTGAGTCATTTTCCTCGTTGGAGTCATAGTTACTTGGTCTAAATTTGTTTCTCAATTCAAAAAAGTACTTGCATTACTTTTTAGATTCTAAAATGTTCATTAAATACTGCTAGGGAAGTTTGAAAAATATAAAGAAGAAAAGACACCCACAAATAGTTGACTACCTAGAGGTATGCACTGTGACTATTTCCTTATACTTCCTTTCAGTCTTCCTTTTTTCAGGGTACCAATAGATCTGTTGTTATGCAAATGGCATACTTGGAGCATTTCAATAGATGTTTGCTCTCCTGAAATCAAGGGAAGGTACACGTGGTAGATCATGCTCATAGAACATCCTGCTCACTTGTGGGATTACCCCATGAATGACTGTCTTCATTTCCTGGCCGCCTTGAAGTTCCAAGGGACATGTGGTTGGTTCTGGCCAGTGCCCTGTGAGCAGGAAGTGGCTCCAGTTTGTTACCTATCTGGGATGATGCAATCAAGGCCCAGCCTGTGCTTCTGTCACCTCTTACTTCCTTCGATGCAGCAACTTTGGAAGTCCTGTATCCCAGCTGGTGCGGCTACAAGTGGGCAGACGGGAACAACCTGCATTAGAATTTGCATCAGTAGAAACGGATCTTTAGCTGTGCTAAGTCACCAAGATTTCGGGGTTGGTTTGTTTCTGTGGGATAACATGGCCTATTCTGAGTACTCCCATGTATGACCGCCCTTCCCTTCTCTATCACAGACTCCAAGGTGACATGAACTTTACCTCGAATTCCTCTTTCATGTAATCAATTCGATGAACATTCCAATAGGGCAGATCAAGGACCTAATGAGACACTTTCAGTCTAGCCAGATTCCGATTGCAGCTATAAAGATATATTATCTGTGAAAATACAGTGGCCAGTGATAAAGCTGGTACTGTTAACATCCCAGATGCAGATCATATGATAATTATATTAAAAAATCTAACATTTATGTGGTGCTTTACAGTTTTTCAAAGCATTTTTTATAACCATCAATGTAGGTATTCTGTATGGTGTGAGGCCAACTTACATGGTATGCACATCGTCAGCAGCAAAGGTCCCATGCCCTGTGTACATTCTCTCCTTCCTTCTGGTTTGTGTTCCTGGCTACCGGGCAGGGTGGCCCCTGATTAGAGCAATTGTGCCATGGGCAGGGAGTGGCAGGCGTGGCACGTGTAGCATACAGTGTGTTAGAGAGGAAGAGACTTGGATCTGCCTCTAACCTGACCAGCTGAGTGACCCGGGCAGTCCCCACATGTCTCTGGGACCCCTTGTCTGTGAGGGAGGAAGTTAGGCTGGTGACTGTTGGGTTCTTCCAGCCCTAGTGGCCCTCCCACCCCTGAGACCACCCTGAGCAATACCTGTGCTCCACGGCACCTTTGTGCTCTCAGAATGTGGCATTTGGGGATGGAGGCCTGCCCCGGACTCACTCCTTACTTCCCTTTTGTAGAACCTTCCCTGTCACATGTGCAGTGGGGTCACAGATACACACTTTTTCACTACTTCAGTGGCAAATTTGA